TTGAGATGGAGTCTCACTCTGTCGCCTAGGCTAGAGTACCATGGTGTCAGCCTAGCTCACAGCAACCTCAAACTCCTGGGCTCAAGCGATCCTTTTGCCTCAGGTTCCCAAGTAGCTTGGACCACAGGTATGCACCACCATGCCCGGCTAATTTTTCCTATTTTTAGTAGAGATGGGGTCTCACTCTTGCTCAGGCCCAGCCAAAAATCACTTCTAAAAAGGAGAAATTTAGTCAAACAGGGATATGTTATGGTGGAATCCCATCATTGGTCGGGTTCTAACAACTCTGAGGACAAAAATGGTATCTGACCAGAGTTATACTTGACAATAAAATACTACCTTTTCACTTATTTATCTGTTCTCTTCTTTGGTCATTGTTTCTCTATGGCCTTCAATTCTTCAATTTCTCAAGGACGTGGACCACCAGAACCATGGTTTTGCTTCTCATCCTATGGTGGAGAGAATCCCTTAGTTATTCACATATTCCATAAAGTTAACAACCTGTTTCAGAATTATTTTCGTGATCTGTTTCCTATACATGACATAACGGGGGTTTGGTTGAATATGCGTAAGAGCACAGGATACTGCTCTGCTGTCCCGCCTCCTACTTATATGGTTTGTTCCACCACCCACAGTTGCTGCCATTCCTTTTGTGTCTAAAGGGACCATCAGCAGCAATGCAGCCTAGGAGCTTGTTAGAAATGCAGAAGCCCAGGCTCCCCCCAAGATCTGACTCAGAGCCTGCATTTTAATAAGGTCCCTAGGTGAGTGGCGTCTGAAGTGTGAGAAGCACTGCTCTATGACAGATTGCACAATATATTGCCATATAGAGAGAAGCTCTGAAAACACAAAGATCACAGAGGTCCAATGATTCTTTGCCTGCCTCGAAGCACAGCTTCTATTGAGTGCTGACCATGTGCCAGGCATTTTATAATCATTTCCTTTTACTTTAAAGTCAGCATTAGCCTAATTTCACAGATGAAGAAACTAGGACTCTATGCAAAACTATAGAGCTGAGAGTATATTCTATTGCCTTTTCCAGAGGAACTCTTGAGAGTGTGGTTTTCTGACCTCTTTCTGTCACTAAAAATAAAACAAAATAGTTGAAAGTAAAAGGGAAAAAAGGATCAGATGCAGCCTTATGATTAACCAAGAGTGTCCTGCATTACTGTTTGGTTTGGAATTAAAAATAGATAATGATATTTATTTCAGAGGTTTGCAGTGAGGAAAAAAATGAAGGGTGCATGCGAAGTGCTCAACACAGTGCGTGACACAGTAAGCATTTTAGTAAATAGCTGTTTTGAAAATATCCTAAGTTTCATCCACTTTTTACAAAATCAGAGACAGCACTAGCGCTCATAAGTTCTGCAATTGAAATGTATATCCACCTTCACAGTATGAACTAAAACTCTTAAGCCCCCCCCCCAACCAGCTGACTCAATGGAACCCCTCTTGGCCAAGGGGACCCCAGAAATACCCTAAAGCTGAGTTGCTGGCCATGAGAAGAGTGGTCAGACATGCTTTCTCATGCCCCCTTCCCTTCTTGGAAATATCTTTGTAACTCATTTAACAGGCCTAAGGCTATGCAAGACACAGCCTAAATCACACCTGCAGGTTCATCAATTTACTTAACAGGTCACTTGAGTCTGGGTACATGTGGGATGGTTTGTCTCTGATTACCAGAAGTCCTTAAAACATTTCAAGCCTTTAGACAAAGCATTTCTTTAACCAATAAACCCACCTATATTCCCTGCTTCAAGATGTTCTGCCTTTTCAGGCCAGATCAAGGTATCCTTCCAAGTATTGATTTATAACTTTATGTGTAAATCCTGTCTTCCTGTAATGTATAAAACCAAACTGTAACCCAATCACAGCGAGACCACGTGCTCACGGCTTCTTGGACGTGGCTCTCCCGGTCATCTTCATGGTTGCACATATTTGACTCAGAATAAAACTCTTTATTTTACAGAGTTCAGGTTCTTTTTCGTTGCCAATACAAAGGTACGGCTTTGCCAAGCGGGAGTAAATGCTAACCCCAATTTCCGCCTTTGGTTTAATTCCTATTAAACATATTTGGATCTAGGGCAGCCCTTAGGCACCCAAGTTGTTAGTCGTGGGAGGGGGATACTGAAGTTCCTAACTCCCACGAAGTACACGAGGAAAAGAAGGGGCCTAGAGAGGGGGCGTGGCTTATGCATGAGAAACAGCGAATTAGTGGCAAAACCCTGCCCTAGCTGAAACCCAAACACCCTCTTCCTACCCCAGCTGCGGTTTGCGTCTCCGCTCCGCCAGCGTCTGGATTCTTCTCCGCCCCTACAGGACGCAGGTGGGCTAGGAATCCAATCGCACGATCCTGCCCGTCACCATCATGGCGCCGGTGGCGCTGCAGAGCCGTCAGCTGCCCCTCACAATCATGGCGCATGGAAGCTCTACGGTACGCCGCCTGGGGCCCACAGCTGCCCCTCACAATCATGGCGCATGGAAGCTCTACGGTACGCCGCCTGGGGTCCACGGCTGCCCCTCACAATCGTGGCGCCGGCGGAAGACGCCTGGGCTCTGGGAAGCCGCGCCTGCCCCTCACAATCATGGCGGCCAGGGCGGGGTCTGCATAAGAGAAGCAGGGCTGGCGGCCCTAGAAGAAGCGGTCATGTGACTGGGAAGATGGCCGTCTTTCCCTGGTAAGGAAGAAGCGGCCGGTGGGCCTTAGTGGGGGCTGCCCCTAGTTGTTTCTGGGTCTCTGTCTCTGCGAGTGTGGGTTGCTCTCTCTTGTTGAGTGTGTGGCCTCCTACCCTACCCGCTAGTTGTCCTAACCACAGAATCCCTGGCCGTTACCGCGGTCCAGAGGAGCAACCTGAAGCCGGACCGGTGGGTTCTTGGTTCTCTTTCCGTCTACTGCCTCTCCGCGCCTTCCACGGCCCTCTCTCCATTCATTCCCTAAAGAAAACTCAGGTTTCCAGGCTTCCGCTTTCCCAGGGCAAGTAGACGCGGGTTCTGGGGGCACTGGATGAGGAGAATGGTGGACTCAGCTCTGAGTGTGCACGACTCCGGGGACCTGGCTGTTTGCTGGTCTGTTTCCTGAGCTACTCGGTTCACCTAGAGAAGACTTGCTTTTCTCATCTGTAAAATGGCTGCCATTCATCCTATCTGTGCAGAGCCCTCAGACATATTCCTTGGCTTCAAGGAGCTGTCAGTATAATGGAGCAGACACATAGGGTAGAGGAACGCCCAAAGAAGGTATTTGGATGAAGCACAAAGGGCGTGATCAACTCCACCTGGGGCTAGGGGACGGCTTCAGAGAGGAAGAGACTTAAATTGGGTCTTGGAGGATGAATAGGAGTTCTCCATACAGGAAGGAATGGCATGTGCCAAGGTTGGCAGGCATGTAGGGCTCTTGTGGCTGGAGTAGCTAGGAGGGATATGTGTGCTGAGTGGGTAATATGTGTGCTGGCAAGAACTCAAGCAAGTTGGAATGGTGATAGTGGGATTATTTGGGGATGGGAGATCTCTCTTGCGTCTCAGAAAGCAAGATAATTTTCTGATCTTCAAATGATGTGAAGTAGCTTACATTGAATGAGTGACTGAACCAATGAAAGCACAGCCCTAGACCACAGAAATAATCAGGTCCAACCTTTTGATTTTATGCTTGGTAAACAGTTGTCTTTACCTTATTCCCTTCACTTGGCTGACATTTAGGAGACCACTTCCTCAACACACTAAATCAGCACTGGATGCCTCTGCGCACTTCCATGTCCTGAGTTTTCTTGGACCTAGTCATGCTGGCTTGAACAAAAGACTAAGTACCTTTTGGGGGTCAGTAAGGCTGAAGCACCAAAAACATGGGAAATATCTGGTATCGATGAATTTATCTGGAATTTGTAATTAGAAAATCCAGGAAGATGCTGTCTTAATCTCTACATCCAAGTACATTTTTACCTTTGGTATTTTTATTTTAAATTAGAGAGGCACCCAAACCTGTTTAGTGTCTAGGGTCTCTATAGATCCTAATATGGCTGTGTTCTAGATGTTTCTTTATGTGGTAGTGCATGTTCATCATTCAGTTTCCCCACTAGACTTCTTGCTCCTTGAAAGTTAAAGAGACCCAGTGTTGTCCATCACTGTATCCCCAGAGCCCAGAACATGGTGGTAGGTGCTACATAATATTTATGAATGAATGAGGAAACTGAGGAAGATCACAGAGGAGAAATGTGTTTCTGTCATTACATTTATAGTATATTTATCAAGCCCTTATTTTGTATCAGGTAGCGCTGTGCTAAGTGCTTAACGTACTTCTCACTTAATCCTTGTAACAACCTTATTCAGGTGGGGAAATGGAGACAGAGAGATTAAGCAGTTTACTTAAAATCATACATACAGCCCACAAGGAGAGCTGAGCATTTGGAACCCAGAGGCCGTGATCGTAATCATTGTCAGCTGGACCTCTAGTCTAGCTCCTAGGCTGAGGTTTCTGGCTTGCAGCTCTCTCCAAATCCCACTGTGTTTTCAGGGGTCTCCCCTAGAATGCCTCTTTTTACTCACACTTTTTGTTATCCCTGATACATTTTGGCCTGGCCTAAAATATGAGATGTCATCTGCATACCTTGGATCACGTTCCCTGTTTAATCCTGTGAAGCACAGTTGGAAATACCACCTTTTGGAGTCAGAATTTCTACATCATTTTAAATGAGTTTTTTGGAGGGCAGGGGTAATATAATGATTGTGGAAGAAAAAGCTGTGTGGTCAGATTATGCGATTAGTAACTAAAAAAATACTTGAGTAAGATAGCTGGCAAAAAGCATTTAGTGGATTAGGGTGTTTCCAGTATAAGGAGATTAATTTGGTAAATCATAACGGAGTTTCTATGTATCCATATTATCACAGGTAAATAATTTAAAAATAGGGAGCTGTCAACCTCTAATGTGCGTATAAACCACCTGGGGTTTTTGTTAAAATGCTACTGATTCTGATTCTGTAGGTCTGGGTTATTTCAACCCTCCCAGGTGATACCATTGCGAGTGATCTGTGGACCACACTGCATAGTGAAGGGCTTAACCCAGCAGAGGTGTGAAATGGTGGCTGTTTTTCTGTGGCAACTGCCTATTAATCAGACAAGCCCTTTTGGCTGAAGGTTGGGATTATGGGGGACTTTTACCAGCTATAATCAGCTATGTTAGCAGGAAAAAGACAAGTAAGGATCTTGGAGAAAAATGCCCACTAGAGGTCGCTGTTAGCCTTACCAAAGACCTAGGGGATCGAAGAATGTTTTAACATCTCAAACCGCAGGAAATGCGACGGATCAGAGAGCAAACTTGAGGAAATACTGGAAGTGATAGAAAATCAAAATATGGGCCAGGCATGGTGGGTCACGCCTGTAATCCTAGCACTTTAGGAGGCCGAGGGGGGAGGATTGCTTGAGGCCAGGAGTTTGAGACTAGCAGACCCTGTCTCTTCAAAAAAAATAGAAAAATTAGCCTCCCAGCTGCTCAGGAGGCTGAGACAGGAGGATCTCTTGAGCCCAGGAGTTTGAGGTTGCTGTGAGCTATGATGATGCCACTGCACTCTAGTCAGGGTGACAGATCGAGATCCTGTCTCAGAAAAAGAAAGAAAATCAAAATATAGTGGTTTGCCATGAGCTTTCAAGAAGGGAACATGTTTTCTTTCCTTTTTTTTTTTTTTTTTAGAGATTTATTTCCAGAAGCAGTCCTTGCTCAGAGGGACTAAGGGTAATGTGCCGCTGGTTGTATGTAATAGGCCATCACGACGTTTGTGAAAGTAATCAGCTCACAGAACCTAAAACCATGTATCTTCTTTTTTTTAAAATCATTTTATTTGTTTATTTAGAGGCAGAATCTCTCTCTGTCACCCAGGCTGGAGTGTCATAGCATGATCGTAGCTCACTGCAGCATGGAGCTCCTGCCTCAGCTTCCTTAGTAGCTGGGACTACAGGAGTGAGCCACTGCACCCAGCCAAGTTTTATTGTTAATGAAACAACTTTTGGCTTTGTCGATATGCTCTTTTACATTTGTTTTTTATTTCATTATTTTCTGCTTTTTATTTCTTTTTATATGCTTTCTTAGATTTAATCTGCTCTTCTAATTTCTTAACACATTGACTGCCACACTAGAAAACTAGCGCTGTTTGCTTGTCACCTCCTTTCTGCTTGGCTTCTTTCTCTTGCCCTGTGCAGCTTAATGGACATATACTCTGAAGAGAAAGGTCTTCTGGCTGCTCTGTCCCCTAACAGCCACCCTCTTGTCCCATGCCAAGAATCAGCAAGTGCCCCGAGAGGGAAAGCTGGGTGAGGAGTGTTGGATTCACCTTGGCGAGTTTCCCTTGGTTCTGGTGTCTGGCCTTGTGAGTCCAGATTTAAAAAAAAAAAAATTTTGTAGTGTTTCTTGCTGGTCTTGGTAGCAATGTGTTTTGCTTTAAACTACCCTATCGTTGTCGAAATCTCAGTAAAGGTTTTTAGTATTTTAAGCCCCCCCATCAATGACTTGGCTTCTGTGTTTTGCTGTTGACCAGGCATTCCAGGAACAGGAACTACAAAGCCGAATTTGCGTCATGCCGCCTGGAGGCAGTGCCTTTGGAGTTTGGGGACTATCACCCTCTGAAACCCATAACCGTAAGTTTTGTTACGGGTCTCTCTAGAGGACAGTCTTATCCTATCAGATGACGGACAGTATTCCTGGGTCCTTTCTATTTTGCCAGTGGTAGCTGCTTTTGCATATTTGAATCAACCCGTGTGTTCGCTGCCTCTTTTTTATTTTTTGCAATGTTGGCCCTGCCCACCACCGTTTTTACTCCCCGCCTTTCTCATATTTGCGAGGTTGTCGTGGGAATGGGATGACTTTGTTCTTGATTTGGATGTGTCAGCAAAATATATCTTGCTTCTTAATTTTCCTGTTTGGAATATTAAGAATCACTCTAATTACCAGTGTAGGGTGTTGTCCTGAATAGCGTCTTAGTGTATCTGTGAGTTTATTTAAAAAATAAAACAAAAGCAGGCAAGAGACGTGGATGGTCCCTCTCTGCTGGGTCGCACTATTTCATTAGGAAGTAATGAATACTCTGTGATGATCATAGTGGGAAGAAGACGTGATTGTCAGCGTGGGGGAGCCAAGGCTGCGTGGCGATAGTTACGTAAAGCAGAAGCTCTCGAGACTGAGATTCAGCCTCGCAGGGCCCCTCAAGTCCCCAGGCTCTCGTGTGGCAGTGGCTGACCCCACCAGTGAGTAACTTCCATCCTCAACTCATTCCCCACGTGGTAACAGAATAGCTGCCACAGCTCTGACCTTATCCTGCCAGCTTAGCAACACCAACAGCAGGAGATTGCTTTTCTCGAGCAGTTTTTGTGGATACAGTTTTGTTAGTTGTCCTCTGAACCAACTTGGTGACCAAGTGTCTAGAATATGTGGATTAATTAGGTTAGATCTAATGCCCATGCTGGGAGCAGGGCTATGGGAACTGAGCGTTGGGGAGAGATGTTTTCTCGAAGAAAATTTGGAACATTGAGCTTAGGAGATGGAGGAATGGGTGCCAGGCAGACAAAAACAAATGTGCACCGATGGGAGGTGCTGCTCTCTCCGTCCCACGCTGCAGTTCGACTCAACTCAGACACCAGTCACCCGGAGTTAGTGTCAGCCTCCACAGGTTTAAAGACAAGGTCCTCAGACTGCCCTCACGGTAGATGCCAGCTGCAAATTTGGGGGTCCCCAGGCTACCTGCACTTCCAACCAACTGGCAGCAAATGCAGGGGTTTCCCACGACCCCCTGTTGGGTTTGATAATGACTAGAATGACTCACAGAACTCAGAAAAGAGTTATACTTACAATTACTATAAAGGGTACAACTCAGGACGAGCTAAATGAAGAGACACGTGGGGCGAGGTTGGGGAGGAAACACAGAGCTTTCAGAATCAGGCACGTTACCCTCCTGTCACGTTAATGTGTTTACTAACCAGAAAGCTCTGCTGGGCCTTGGGGTTCAAATTTTTATTGGGGTTTCATTACATGGGCTTGTAATCATGGCTTGGTCTTTCTGGTGACCAGCCCCCATCCAGGAGCCCAGCAGGAGTCACCCCACTAGAACAGAAGACGCTCCTGTCATCCAGGGAATTCCAAGGGATTTAGGAGCTCTGTATCAGGAAACAGGGACAGAGAGCAAATAAACATTTCTTATTATGTTGTAATCACCTTCTAAGTTGTAATGGCCCTGTCTCTTCTGTTAAAAGATCAACTTGGGCACATTAAAATTTTAATGAGTTTATTTGAGCCTTCAGCGATTCGTGAATAGGGCAGCTTCAGACTTTTCGCAGTTCAGGGCTCCCATGAGGGGGTGCGAGGGGAAAATGTTTAACTTTTGTAAGGCCTTCTTGGGAGCAAGACAAAATATTTGACCGGTTAAAGTGGAGATTCCCTACTTTGAGATTAGTTCGTGCTTTCTGATTGGTAGTCTCTAGTTAGAGGTTAGTTGGAGACTTGCGATTTGTCAGGCTTAGGGTTTGTCATACTGTTGACGTTGAGTTGGATTTTGGTTTGTTACATGGGAACCCAAGGTCCCGGGGCCACCTCTGTCTAATGGCCTCCCAATTCATTTTTTAGCACTTCCTAACCCCAACTTCCGGCCTTCCCCTC